ACAACTGGTAGGCCTCAAGTGGGCATAGCTACTACGATCGACTGCTATTGATGCCATTTTTTGTCTAACACCACGATTGCACTCGGCTTCAATCATGACAGTCTGCAGCCACGATGCTTGCAGGCGCTTTCGCTTCGCAGGTTCCGACACTCTATCCTCGGATGAACGGGGCGGGGTTAGTAGGCAGTGCAAGGACTGTTTTCGGTCTCGTGAATCTTAGCTATGTGACAATGTGGTTCCGGTGATGATGAAAACCAGTGAGAGGTGTGTCCTCTGAAAGCTTTTGCAAGGTCAAACCTCCATCGCAGAAAGGCTCTTCACCTCCTTTTGCGACCGAAGCCGAGGCTGGGGTCGATGTTCTGGTTAAGATAGGGAAACTTTCTGGAATCCACAAAAGCACCACGATTGAGGATCAGTGACCTCTCACATGCTCAGCTGGTAGGAGCTTGGCAGCCAACATCTTGTGCAAGCTAGCGGCCACACGAACGGTGCTTGAAACCAGCACTGAGAGCATGGCTGAGGCATCCATAGGCTTCCAATTCAGCGGGGTGCACCCGGAAAGTCTGACGGAAGGTGGGAGACACACTGCATCTAAGTCCTCAATGTGTGTACACGGCACCATGCATGCAGGCATAAATGCATGCATTCAACCACATACACTTACAAAGAGTGACTTCAATTAAACGACTGCTGTATGGTTTATCAAGTTCTTACACTGTCGTAAACTCACTTGGTGCAGCTATCTTGCATGTAACTTAGCTTTCTGTTCTGCTACTTTGCACAATGGTCCTGCGGAAACTATCACATGTACACGCATACATATCCACTGAGTTTGTGTGCGGATACACATTTTGCATTTCATGTATGCACCGCAGTGTACTGCGCATGCATTGGAATCAATTCGCAATCCCTTGAAGGTACATGCATGCTTGTGTCTGTGCTTTCTTGAATTGTACCTGTGTGCGCACGGCATGCTGCACTCCTACTACATCTGAGCGAACTGAAGCATCCTGCTACTACGAGAGGGAGAAACAGAGAGAGCGAGCGAGCGAGAGAGAGAGAGAGAGAGAGAGAGAGAGGGCGAGCGAGCAAGAGAGCGAGAGCGAGAGCGAGAGAGAGAGAGAGAGAGAGCGAGAGCGAGAGTGAGACAGAGAGAGACAGAGAGAGGCAAGGAGAGTGAGGGTGAGAGTGAGAGGGAGAAGCACACATGGACGCAGACTGCCCCCAAGCTTTGTCCGGACTGTGTGCACAGGTGCAGCAGCTGGACGGAGCCATTAGACTTCTTTCTCGCAAGCGGCATGCTCGAGGCAGAACAGCCTGGCTCGCGAGAGCCATTCCTGCACGCCCTCTTCATCGTTGGCGTCCGCGAAAGCCTGAAGCTTTCGAATCCGGCATGCTACCAGCGGTGGCAACGATCGACTCAACCTAAGCTTGCGTTGGCATCCCCACCAGCTGCACCGGCCTGTATCACGATTTGGAAGATCGACTGGTCCGGCTGCAAGTGCACGGAGCTGAAGATCAGCTGCCTCAGAGGGCATCCAAACCCTCGGAAGCAACTGGGTGAGAAAACCCAAGGGAATTCTAGGCCCTGGCTGAAAGATAGCCCATACCTGCAGGCTAGGAAAGCTTCGAGGTATCTGACAGAAGAAGCGACTCTCGGCCTCCTGATACGGCACGAGACTGCGATGGCCCGTAACCAGGCCCTGCACATGATGTGGCTCTGTTCCACATAAACACCTTCCGAAACTTCTCGCAGCCTGAATGATTCGTCGAAATTGTGCAAGCTCAGCAGCCTGGCCCATCTTGGGCCCTGCAAAGTGACAAGGACTGCTCGTGCTGTGGAACAGCGCAGCTTGCTGCGGACGAGATGCGGTGCTGGAGGAACTGCTGCAGGTGCCTCCGCAAGCTCCCGCCGTCCCGTCTGAACTCCCCGTGCACCAGCTCAGGGCCTGCGGCCCTGCTGCACTGCATCGGCTTGATGCTGGCGCATGAGCAGCGAAGCTGCCGCTGCATGCCTGAGCGTGCCCCGCATGCCCACAGAGCCGAAAGTTCCTGCAGCTTCGAGAGGAGGCTTGGCTCCGGGCGCGCTTCCAGCTTCTTCCAGAAGCCTCCAGAACCTGCAGCCGGATCATGACATACGCAAAAGCAGTCTCAGTGTTTGTGTGCGGCCTCGGCCACCAATCGATGGAGGAGATCTGTCCGGCTTGGACATAGACCTCTGGGCAGCATGGTTCCGAGTCGCACAGCCTTGCAGACACCCGAGGCCCAAGACCTGCATGATTTCTGCAAGCACCTCCTCGTTTAGAGAGGCACGGTCCATCCTGTACAGAGCTAAGGGAGCACAAGATGGGACTCCTTGCAGCACTACAAGACCGATCCTGGCAGGCTCGTAAGCCTTCAACAACGTGTTCCTCGGTCAAGCAGGCCTAAACAACTCTCCTGTTGAAGCAATGCATACAGACTGTGATGCGGAAAAGCAACGCACAGCAATGCTGAACAGCTTTGAGGTGACTCCTGTAGAATGTGTGAATCGCTCCGAGGACGAGGCCACAGCAATGTGGGGGTCAAGCCGGCGGTGGCAAGTGTCGGATCCACCTGTGCATCAGCATTTTTTGCCCAGCTGATGCCAGCTTGCAGGGAAAGCTGCACAATGCCTCCAGGATCCGTCTGAACAGGTCGGAGGCGCTTTGCCTCCTTTCATCCTGCTTCGAGGCCAGCAGATGAGCTTCTTGTGAAACTTCTCTTTTGCCCGAACCCTCGCTATGTTACCTGTTTGTCCAGTAGCTGCAGCATTCGGATCAGTAGCAGTCAGTAGCAAGAGCAGCAGCTGCAATTGCAGCTGGTGCTGTTGCTTCCCCATTTTTTGTTGTTTCAGACAGCTTCCGTTCTGCGGCATGTGGCTATGACGGCTCTGCTTACTGGTGACTGCTTAAGTCCGCTGTGCATGATGATGCTTCGGATGGTGATGGCAATCCTGCCTGTTGCTGCCATGGCTGTTTTTACCAGAAGTGCCAGTACTATCCTTACTTCCACCAAAGCTCTTGCCGTTGTTGTCCTCTTCATGAACGGTGGTTTGTGATAATGATGATGAATAGGAAGACAAAATAAGATTTTGATGGTGATGACGATGATGAAGAAGAAGTTCATGCTGTTGGTGATGATGATAACCATGATGTTAACGATGCCGATGCCTGCTGCTATGAAGAGCATGTTGACGAAGCAAGACCGTTTCATGCGCCAGCCAAGAACCGAGCTGAGGCAGCCAAGTCCAGCTGTCCGAAGAGACGGAGGACCTGTCGGAGGCCGATTACGTGCTCTCCCTCTTATTGTTCCCGGTCCTGGAATGCGGCGAGTTAAGAGCGTGTCCGGGAGGATCTCGGAATGAGGCCCGGGGGAGCTAGGGGGAAATCTCAAGATCCTGAAATGGCAAACCATTTGGGGACTCCATAGGGGTCGGTCCTGAAATGAGGCGAGCAAAAGGCTACGCAGGCTACGCATGCATGCGGGCTCGAGGCTCCTATCAGGCTTCATTGATCTGATTTGACTGGGCAGGTTGGTTGCAACAACCACGGAATCCTTCTTTCGTCTATTACGCTCTTTGGGAGCTCAGTTGAAACTGCTGAGAAGCTTCTTGCCGCAACAAGACAAGTCTTGCTCAAGTTTTGGTAGCATCTTCCGGCCTCGGCTTTTCTCTGCTGCTCTCCTGATGCCTGGGCTGCCGAATCAAGCACATTCATCCTCGTCTTAGTCGTCATCACAACTCACATTGATGAGAGCATCGCGAGCTATTCTGGCAACAATCCACGATGCAACAAAGTTCTAGGCTCAGCGCAAGTCTTCCCTTCTGCAAGGCTTCGCGATTCCTGTCAGCGGAATATAGCGGAATCACTCTCTTCCCAGCAGTAGCTGTCGCACTGGCTAGTGCGGCTAGGTCGACGCAGCGTGTCATAAAGCTTTAAACGACGGTTGTCACAACAATCATGAAAAACACATGTTTATATGATTGATGGGTACCCAGTGCTTCGGAGGAGGCCCCACATGAAACACCATAGCTGGGCCAGTGCTGGGGGAGCAACGAGCAACAGAAACTGTATAGCGAGGCCTAGGACAGAGCAAGCAAGCCAGAGAAAAACAAGGGAAGACCAAACCTTCGGAATTTCGGAATGGGTTTCCACAGGCGCGCTTTTTTCTTGGACAACTTGGATTGCAACAGCGCCCCGAGGTTCAGTGTCAACGGGAAGAATGGGAAGCTCAAGATTGAAGAATGACGACTGGAACGACTACACTGACAACTGCAGAAACCATACCAGCATCAAAACGAAACAAAAACATCACCAGCACTACCAGGTAACTGCCACTATCAACAACAACTCCAATACCAGACCAGGATTAGAATATGCTGAAGAGGTGGCCTCCGGACGAGGGCAAAGCTTGGCTCTCCATTGACCTGCCATTCTAGCCGCAGGTGCTCTTGAGGGCTTCAGGGATGAAAGTCAAGGCTGCCCGTCTTCGGCACATCGCGACATGCTTGCAGCGACTCCCGCATGCACAATTAATCGCTGGGTAGAAAAAGTTGGCTTCTTCCATGGCATGTCGCTCAGCTGACCAAGTCTCCTTGACACTGTCTTCTTAACGCTGGCCCCATGTCCCGTGCTCTTTTCCTGGCCGACCGGCAATGCGATCGTCGGAATCACGCCGCCTCATGATCTGTGACTCCCTGCACCCAGGAACTGCGGCTCCACTCGAGGCTTTCGCATCATCAGCGGGGCTCGCATGTCGCTCCCGGCGAGCCTTGAGCTTCTTCTCCTCGCTCAAGAAACCCACGTGTTCGAGGTACAGGCACGGTCAGGACTACTGCGCTTTCGCCACATCGCGGGACAGTGACCGGCTGCCGCCCTTACCCTGTCGACAATTTTGAGGCCTCGGTGGTGTCAGCATCAAGTTGCTGCTTGAATCTCTCGTCCGTAGTCTTAGGTCTTAGGACGGCAGCACTCCCACTTTCATGTCACCGCATCCACTTCGCGGCGCTTTCCTGGAATTCGTATCCTGTCAGGATGCACCCTTTCCTCCACGGTACCGTCGTCCTCGTAGCAAACATTCACGAAATTGTCTTCGAATACGCAAACCACATATGCCGGCATCCAGGTCACCCCATCGAGCCCCCCAGCACTGCCGTCGTCCGGCTCTCCGAGGTCTGGAAACGGCAGCCAAGAGTACCCAACCAACACCTTATCTCCCTTAGCCCAGGGATACTTTGCAAGGGCCGGATCAGCCAAGACATCATCAGTGTAGCGCAGTCGTCGGGCACGAGAAGGGCATCCGGTCACATCAACCTGAACAGCATCTTCAGACTTCAACTTCGCGGTAGCCTGGGACCAAGCAGCTGCAGCATCTTCAGCTGAAGCGGCCATCTCGTAAAAGCCAAAGCCATGACCGACGGGCTTCCAGGATGCAGCGAGGGAGATGCCTCCGCGTCCATCGCCAGTCAGTCCACTCTCTGCTTTCACGGGTCCAAGGCGGCAGTCCTGACCCACCAAGCCATGAAGCGCCGAGTAGCTGACGATGCGGCAGCCTGGCTGGCACATCTGGAGCCTCTTGCTGGCCTCCCGCTGCACCTCAAGCGGCAAGCAGACCTCCATGACAACTGCAGAAGCTGTCTGCAGCATCTCCACGGACGTATCCAAGAGGGAGGCACAGCGAAACTCGCACCGCACGCCGTAGTCGTGGTCCAGCAATACCGAAGAGTCTCCCGGCTCCTGTTCTCCGACATGAGAAACTGCGAAAGCTGCAGCACCTTGACTATACCCCCTACTATTCCCACATATTCCCACTATGCTATCTCAGGCCTGAAAAGTGAAGCGTTCGCTTGCCCGTGAAAGCTCTCGAAGAGCAGATGCCGCCAGCACATAGCGGCTCGGTGCGAGCTCCAATCCGAAGATGTCAACTTGGTGAGCTTCGAACATCACAATCACATACAATCATCATTCAACTTCTCTAAATTAGCAAGTCAATCAGATCAATCAATTCCAGCATGCAAGACACGGCCATACAATGTGCTACAATGTGCTCCTGTGCGTATCTACGTACGACCGTTCGTCAGTAAGCGTGCAAGGCGAAGAAATCGGGATGCGCTCGAATAACGAAGGGGCATGCTGTTACGCGTGGCCAAGTGTTAATTTAAGTGGGCGAAGAACAGAACCAAAGCACAAGTAGGCCGCATGAAGCTAGTTCAGAGCCTGGGGCTGTTTACAGCACCATAAGAAAGGGTTCTCTCATCCCATAGAACAAAGCTTCATTCCTGTCGAGCATAAATTATCGAACCCTACGAATGACGTGGTTTTAAGTCAGGTGGCCGTGCAAGGTGAAGAAGAGCTGGAGGGCAACTTTGCCAGTCCCCATGCCCAGCTCCAGGACGGGTCCACCCAGAGGCTCCTGTTCAGGCAGTACAGGAGCTGAAATATGCTTGATCGTGCTTCTCCGTCAGCAAGGCTTGAACAGGGCCCACTGGGAGTTTGATGAGTTCATCTGGCTCCTTAGGCCTTAGGGTTTCTGGTGGGTGCGTGAATGTGACTTGCTTGATGTGATGAAACAGTCTCCATATGATGGTTGGGAGCTGTAAACAAATGGATTAGATAGTTGAAAAGACGGGGAGACACCAGTGAAATAAAGGTAGGTTCCCAGACATGCACGTGCACACGTGCTTTCACGGAGACAATGACACGGCCAGCAATGTTCTCGTTTCAACTTCCGTACGAATGCTACACAACGCAAGGAGTGCTTGCTTCGACCCTCCGTAACAAGAATCTGTTCCAAAAGAAACTGGCCTCTCTCGTGCAGAAGGCACGCGCCAGCTGCTCGACGCCTTCATGTCAACAACTGGAGACATGAGGACCAGCAAAGAGCACATCGAACGTAGTCATGCTAGCAGGCTGACACTACATTCAGCACTTGTAACGTCGAGCAGTCATAGTGCTCGGACAACACAGAATAAATGATTATAAGCATCAAGCGTAAAGCAACTAGAACTGGGAGTTGTCAGTCTCCTTGTACCAGCAGCTAGTATCAACTAACTGCAGTAACTCTAAGACTATAGCAGGTTTGGACGGTCCCTCTGACATGCGCCGGTCGGCAGAAACCAGCAGCATCAAACTGCCCACCTTCAGGCAGCAACTCTCCTGAGCTCAAGTCCAGGCACAGAGACTTGCGGGGACGGCAAACTCGCAGGAAATTCGTGCCATCGAGACTCCGTAGAGCAGGCTGCTGCCACGACCCTGCCTGCGAGAGAGACAGTCTCTCCAAGGTCAAAAGCACCGAGCAAGGTTCGGCTTGTCGGCCGGTGGCTTGCATCGTCGCTGCGGCCACACGCTCGCAGAATGTTGCAGACATGAACTAGATCTGAGAAACAGATCGAGATGCATGCGCGCATCATTTCGCGCAAGTCTCCGAATCCGCTTCGATTGAAGTGACAGCAGTCAAGATGAAACAGCCACAGCAAGTAGACCGAACGAAACCTCATTGGCGCTACGGTACTACTACATCTTTTTCCGACAACCTTCACCCCCAATCGCGTTCTTCCCCTCTAAGTAGTGTCATCTCATCGTCGCGGAAGGATTTTACGGACTGTTTCAGCTGTATTCATGACAACAGCGCTCACTGCTTCCCCGGCAACTTGTCACAGTCCAAACCGAATTGGCCACTGTAGTGGAGTAGTTGCTTGGTCGGCGCACCCCCCAAAAACACAAGTACACACGGACAAAAACACACACACACACTATGTTTGGATTGACATCTTGCGAAAGCCATAGCTGACGACCAAGGCATCGCGCCTAGACTTTTGACATGTATTCTCATGGACAAGAATGTCAGAGGAGAAGAGCATAAAGCTTGTGGCCTGGTACCTGAACCTGCCTGTCTAAACCAGAAACCAGCCTGAACCCCCTAATGCACCGAAGACAACGACAAAGACAAAGCCAAAGATCATGACCCTTTCCGGAATCAGACCGAAGGTGAAAAACATGAAGAAGGCATGTGTTAGTCGAGCAATAGATCCCTCCCGGGTTTTAGCGCCAGTTTTATATCCAGTGAAAGTCAACAACCAATGAAGAATAGCCAATGTACAGCGACGCTGGTACGGTATGTCGCCAGCTGCAGGCACAGTGGTTGATCAGACGGGTTTGCACACGCACTCACACACAGAGCAGATCGGCTTGAAACCCCCGTCGAGCATGGATGCATGCAATACTTCATGTTCGGCCAAGCTGCTCAACCACACTGGCAACATCTGCCGCGCCGACTACCTGTCAAGATGGCAGGTCATGTATTCCTGCGAGACTCCTTGACCACTCACAGATCAAGAAAAAAGAAGATGCACCTGGTGCCCGGCGAGGTCGTGACCTCCGTTCAAGTCTTTGCATGGTGCTTGGGGCCGTTCGCTTGTAGAACATCGCGCGGGTGTCGCAAAAATAAAACATGAATTCATGCTCCGTAGATCCGAGCTGCCCGTCTTGCCCCACTCATCACCATAGGCGGCTCTCAGCAATTCCTGGAAACGTCACTTCAAAATACCACTATAGCAGACAGCTGTTTCGCATGATTTTGCACGCTCTGTAGCAGTCAGTAACAAAGTCCTAGCAGCTTCCCAGCATTGTTCCGAGAAAGGCTGAAGCACGGGCGCCAATTGGCGTGCTTCTTAAGATGCCTAGGCGTCTTGAACTGGCGAGCCTGTGAAGCTGCGTCCATGAGGGCAACTTGCAGCCGCTGTGAAACTCGATGTCGTTGTTGCGGTGACGTTAGCATTCAGTCTTGTGATTGAGTAGTATGTAGCCGTCTTGGGTCTTAAGACAACCTACGACATTGCACGCGCTGTAGAGACTTGCGCCTGAACACGTCTGACAAAAGCACATCCTGCAGAACTCCATGCCACGTGAGGCAAGCTGCATGATGCAACGGCCCTTTTGTCACGACTGACTCGCAATGGTCTTTGTGCGATCTTTGGTCGTGCTGCTTGCCCGTGCGTCTTGGACGTCCGGCTTTGCAACCCAGAGCTCGCCGCTCTAGGTGACCATGCAAGTCTCGATGAGTTAGGATTTGGGAGAGCATCCAACATCACTATGGCTGTCACAGCTCGCGTTCAGTGTAGCATTGGTAGGCACAACTTCTTCCCATTTCCTCCCTGCTGCTCACGCTTGTACGTACGCATACATGCATATTTACATACGGCCGACAATGTGTTGTGCTACAGTATCCGTCTCCGCCCAGAGTGTACATTTGTACAGCTCGTACATATACATCTGCTGGTGTGTTTCTATACCGGTGAAGCATGCAAGCATCCGCAACTTCCGACATCCCCACATGCATGCATGCATGCGTGCATGCAGGCATTCATGCATACATACATACCTACATACACACACGAGCACATACATCCTTACATTACATGTATGTATGCGCCGATGCAATCTGGCAGCTGGCTTCATGATCGCCTCGCCGGTTCCGACTTGGGCGATGTCGGCCGCCCGAACTCACCTCCGGCCTCGCGCAAGGACTCCATGAGACGAAAGCCTCCAACAAGGGGAGACGGGCAGCGCCGGAAAGTCAAGGTGCAGTATTGGTACCACTGAGGAGGCTACTCTAAACATGATAGCGATTCCGACCACTGCCTTTGGTCGTAATGGTCACCAGAATGCTTGCCCGAATGTTCAGAACAAGTCTTAATGATGTCTGGGCTGCAGTTTCTTCCAAGCCAATTGCAAAATCAGAAGACAAGTGCCTTTGCCATTCCTTTGGATTGGTCAGCACAACAACGCTGGCAGCAAGTGCATGAGAGGTCGAGCATGCGGCAAAGTGCCTTTCCGCTGCTGGGAGTCTGGACTGGGAGGGCTCTGCAAGTGCACCTGGCCCTGCCAACAGCTGTGATTTTGCTCACGAGTCCCCGGCTTTTGAATCGGCCACAGATTATTACTGACATCAACGCAAGGGCAAAGTGCTGCCTGCTGCACTTGCGTCTGCCCCGCTGCGGCAGTCCTCACCAGTTTCGCTTACAAGTTAGAAACATGTGGGGGCGGACCGAGGGGGGACCGGGGGGGACTACATCTCTGATTTCGTGTGTCTTCCGTGCGCGCCGAGTCTAGGGCCTGTGGAAGCGTTCAAACTCAGACTAGCCTCGAGTTCATGCGTGCAGAACAACATCATCAGAAAGGTAGTGCCTCATTCACGGGGTGCTCTGCCTCGGGTCGAGGGGCGTAGCCCTAAGACCACCGGATCTAGAGGCCAAAGCACCTTTAACATTTCAGGATTTCCCAGTTCCCCGAACCCGATATCTTTCATGCATTACTCATTTCCGAACTCGGGCTCAGCCACGGTCGATGCCCACCACTGGGCGGTGGCATTTCTTATTCAGTAGGCGCACTGTGACAATGAATGATAGAACATTCCAGAATGCTGACAAATATATGTCTGTGTGTCTTGCAATTGCTGATTCCCTGCCATGAAATACTCATTCCTGCGCAATGCGATATCGCTGTCTTCCTGAGCTTCTACCAATCTATCAACCTGACGCTTCAGGTCCTCTGCATTTCATCGCGACGCTGCACTTTCAACCTAAGTGCTGGCACTCAAACTATCATATACCCGTGCTTGCTGCTGATGATGATGATCATGATGGTGCGACGAGTAGATTTGCTTGTCGCCGGCACTGCTGTGCAGAGCGGCCATGGAAGCTCATCACGCTTCAGGGTGACAGCATATCCAACCGAAGGGCGACAAGCCCGCGCAATGTTGTGGAATCGCGGATCGCAGCCAGGGCAAAACATCCTCGTGATGCCGAGTGAAGATGACTTGACTCACAGCCCCGAGAGAGAAAGCAAAGGGCCAGTCCTCTTGGATCATCTTTTCGGTCACCTGCCAGCTTAGGAGGAAGTATCTGTGGGGAACACGAAACACTACTGTTGTCGCGACCGTTTGGCCTTCCCAAAAGCCGCCTTCAGCTGTTCCTCAACTGGATAGGTCCTGCCACGATGGGTTTAGACTGGACTCCCGGCTCCAAAGCCACGAAGCGTTTCTCATTCCGGTGATTTCGAAGAAGCTGCAGTGGGAACGAAACGAAAATAAAAACCTGAAGAGATCAATCGAAGGTCGGTGCCTCTTCTGGAGATTTCCAATCCGCTTTTCCAAGGCATCCAAGCGGGACATGATCTTGTGATCTTCCTCTCACTCAAAGCACAGAGGGTTGCTATAGGCACTGCTCTTTCGAGTCCTCGGCCATATTTCGGAACCACTGCCGGATGGCCGCATCCTCTTTTTCGTCAACCTGAAAAGCATGCAGTCTGCAAACAGGTTGAATATTGCGCATATCATCATCATCATCATCATCACCAAGTTATCATCTTCGAGACAATGACAATGATAGAAACAAGGTCACACGCACTTATCTAACCACGGTGTTTCGCTCACTTTTCAGCAAATCTTCCCCAACTCCGTCTCTTTTTCGATACCCACCGGCAAGTGGCATCGCCAAACCCAGGCATGTGCATATGTCTTGAGCCTGTCATTGACAGGTCCACCCTTGCCTTTCTTATTATGAATTTGTGGTGGTATGAAAGCATCCATAGCCTGCCACCAGCGGTCGATTACTTGAGCACCAGCTACCACTACCGGTGCTGGCTGCTTCATGCCAGGCAATCTCTTCACAAATTGGAATTTGTTATGTTTCACTTGAAAATTCTTGATGCCTTTAACATCGCACAAAGATGGCCATGCCGGAGCTCCGTTTGAATACAAACGAACGGGGGTATCAGTTGCTTTGCCTATCTGATCCAAGACCTTGCTATCCTGGATTTCCTTCTTGCTTTTGACGGGAGGAGATGCTGCTGGAGGAACAAGCTTGAAAGGCAAGACTTGGAAAACACCCTTTCCCATGCTGGCATGTGTATGTGTATAAATATATACATATGTGTGTTTTAATATATATACATATATATATATGTATATTAACACACACACATGTATGTATATATATATAAACTTTTGTATATGTATATATATTACATAAACATATATATATATATGTATGCATACACACACAAGCTTGTTGGTCGGTCTGAGCCATGTGGAGGGATGAGGTCATGAATGTGAGGAAAGACAGTGGTTAAATTGGGGCGTGTCTCCAGAAACAAGACACCGTCTCAAAGAGCAACGACGTTGTGAACATGGTAATGGCGGGGATTGCAACAAAGAAGAAGCGGCAACAAACAATGAAATGGTGGATAGTGGTACCAAAAGAGAAACAGTACGGGCCGTTGCAACAGGCATGCTCAAGGTTATCATACATATTTGTTTGTAAAGTCTTACCGCTGGGCTCGTCGCAAGATTTTGCTGATGATGGTGTACATGACAGCAGCACTGACCCAGACAACCACCTCAGAGCCCCGCTGCCGCCAGACTGCGCTGCTCCACTTGGGGGGTGCGTGGAGACGGGACCTCTCACTGACAGACGACAGGAACCGCATCCTTTAGGGTTTCTGGGATGTGCAGGTGGACTCGGGGTTTACGGTGTAGGCTTGAGGGCTTCAGCTCCAGGCAGAATGGTAGGCCATTCCTTCATTCAGGAAAGGTGCCCATCCTTAGGGAAGAGGAGCTCATGAACCAGACATAACCAGACAATGAGTCAAAGCCTCTGGGCCGATAGTTCGTTCTGCAGACCGACCAACCCGACAACCCCCCCCCCCACCCCTCGCAATGTCTCTGGATCCCCAAAACATAGGGGCGCTCCCTAGTACTGATTTCAAGTGCAGCAAGGACACCACCATGCGAGAGTAACACCGACACCCTACACCCGCAATGGTGGGTGTGCCCTTGAACCAGTAGGGCAGCTCAGAGCCCTTGCGGCATTTCCCGCCTGTCGCAGCATCGATGCACCTCAAACACACGAACAGACCAGACTCCAAGCGGCTCTTCCAATGACGCACTGGGCTCAGATGGGCTGACCATCTCGGTTTGTGCGACTGGACAAGCACACCAGACAGAATGCAACTTTTCTGCTGCAGCGATCGCAAGCTGCTGAGGCGTAAGGGGCCAGCTTGACTCCAGCAGGGTCTGCAACATGCGGGAGCACTCGGAGATATACCTGGCTGCTGCGCGCGGCTACTTGGGAGGCCCAAGCTGAAAGTGTCGGGGCACCGGTTGGTGACCAGGAAGCTAAATCGCGTGCCTTAGCGACTTCGGTGATGAACACCAAGCCTTAAGCGCTACTGGCGCCTCGGCAAATTATGACATGTAAGCAGTGACTGCAGAGAGGTTCCTTGGAACGATCGCGAAGAAGAATGATGATGGTGGTGATGATGGCCCGACGACGATGCATAGCATGGTGGCAACTATGACGACGGTGCTGATGTTTTTTATGGTGGTGACCCCGATGATGAGGAGCAGGAGGCGGAGGAGGAGGAGGAGGCGGAGGAGGAGGAGGAGGGCTACTTTCTGTCTTCGCGCTTTAACTGAAGCCTTAACTAGTGGCGATCCGCTTGTTCGATGATCTCTGAGTTCGAACCCATAAGATGCTGCCGCGAGGCTGTCAGAGACCTCTACAACATGACACACGCACATACATATACTCCACATATGCACAAAGCACATTCTATGCGCATGACCATGAAACAAGCACTCCAAGGCAGTCTGCTTGCGCGCTCAAGCTTGTGACTCAATCCCGCTGCAAACTGCCGGTTTGACAAGAGCAGGCCTGCCTTCTTGAAGGACTTTAAGGCCTGTCTGGTTTGTGAATCTCCGAAGGAGTTTGCAGTCAAGAAATCATCCTAAGGTTCTGAGGGGATCCAAAAACGACTGCACGGTAGTGCCCGGTAGTGAAATCACGGACCACTCAATCCAACTTAGAAAGCCGCATAAGAGGACAAGCTCGGGTCTTCCTTAGTGTACAAGTATAGCGTTGGGTCAAGATAACTACTGTTCGCCAAAGCACCAGATGAATGCCAAGTCACCTACCTTTGGGCTGGTAACGCAAAAGCATAAACTCACAGCTGACTAGGATAAGCATTAGTGTCAGTAGGTAGGGGTACAGCAGTTTACAAACCCACTATTCGCATAACAAAAACCAACGCAGCATGTGAAACAATGTGCAACAGCTACGACCAATTGGAGATCTAGCAGAATCTAGCATGTCTCGAAGTATGCATCGCATTCCACAGGCAAGGCACTCGTCTCTGCTGCTCGTCCGTGTGCATAAACTCTGGACGTGGGCTCACCTGAGCAAGCCAAGGAAGGGGCACACTTGCTGCATGGATGACATTACCCCGCTCCGCACCCGGAAGATCTTCAGCACACCCACAACGAAGTCGGGAAGGGTCAAAAAGTTATGTCCCATGACCTGAGCTTGAAAGCCAAAACGCAAGTCAGCACGCCTGAAAGGTTGCTCACATTGTGTGACGACAGCTGTATGCTCTCGAAGGCACATCAATCTCTCTGAAGATGACCTCAGCTCGGCGACGGGCGATGAACAGGCACAAATACCACTCGGCGGTATGAAAAGAGTAAACATGCAACAATCAGTCGATCATCGCCGGGTCGCATCAGCCAGTGAATAGGCTACCTTGCCTTGTCAAACGACGCAGCACATGTCACTGCCATGCAGATTAACTGTGTTTGAGTGGGTGCTTGCTACATTTCTGTGCCGTCTGCGGTCTCTGCTGTCGAGTGCGTGGCCCTATGCGAGCTTCGAAAGACGAGACCACCCTACAGGGAGCTTTAGGAATGGTGGGAAATGGGGATGACAAGCTGGACGGGCAACACAAACCTTTGAACAGCGTCTTCCAAATCAACCCCCATGTCTGCACTAGCCAAAGCTTGAGAGGGGCAGGGAAAAGATCGCGAATCGCAACAGACGAGGGTACCAGGTTGCCAAAAGCATGACCGCAGCATGAAAGAATGAGTGGGGTGCTCTCACAACGAAGGAAGACACCAATTCTGCAGTGCGCAACAATGCGGGTCCAGCCTGTCTTGCCGCCAGAGATCAAGTTATGAAATGGAGGATGCCTGATCTGCAGGTCCCGAAAATCATCGATCCTGAGTACGTATCTTGTCAGCGTGGACTCCTACATGGTGTCTCACTCTGAAGCTGCAGCCAATAAACGAGATAAATCGCTCTTTGCTGCTTCCCACCATGTCCTCGCACACACGGCCAGTCAGCTGTTGCAAGTTGCCATTAAAGTGCAGATCCACTTACAGACGTAGTGCCCCCATACGTACATCTGAAATGGTGATTTAGGTGCCGATGAAGTATGTAAGGTGATGTATACGAATGTATACGATGTATACGTATGAGCACGTCCATATGTAGGAACTTGCACTTACGAGCAGAGTCTGAGTAGATGGGCATGTGCGTGTGGTACATGTCACATCGAACAACCGTTCAGGTCAGCTGTTCAATGAAAGGGAGCAAGCATGCCTCGGACTGCACCGTGTCCTCAAAGAGATCGATCAGCTCAGCAGCGCTCATCGCGGAATCTGCGCCTCAGTTTCAAAGCCATGCTTGGTATGCAACTGCAGAAAGGAATCGCTTCTCCTCTCCTCTCCACGTGCCTTGCTGTGAAACTAGCAGCTAGACTCGGTAGACTTTTCTAAGCGGGGCGGTAACCAAAAGGCAGGCGTCGCTGCTTCCACAAGAAAAGCAGCTTTTTCGGAGACACGGAACGGGCTTCAGCTGTCTTCTTCTGCTGGTGCTTCGCATTGCCCTCTCTGAGTGCCGAGATGAAGGTGCCCAGCACCATCCTTACCAAGCAACAGGAGCCTTTCGCAGCAAGGGGAAGCCCTTTGTCCACAAAGCTTTTGCCCAGGCGCGGCCACAGCCAGCAGAGGCAAAGAGCTGCATAGGCCAAGATGATGCTTCCTGCAACCTTTGAACGCAGGGCAACCGCACAAGAGGTCCGTTGCCGACACAGGACAGCTACTCAAACGGCTGAGCGCTTTGCATTCCAACGTAGACTCTCCGCCAGGAGCAGTTTCCAAACGATTCCTGGACCCCAGTAGATCAATCTCCTTAGAGAATTCCCGACGTGTCAAACTTACCAGCTTTGTCTACAGCTTGCGCGAGCGTACTTGCACATGACTGCCCCTGCCGAGGCACAGTGGAATCCTTAGATGAGGGAAAAATCCTCTTTGGACGATTTGCCCGTAGGTCGAACTTTGAACAGTCTACATATGTGAGCGAGCGAAATTGAATACTGGATTACTGGATGTGGCGGTGATCCTGAGTTCTGACGATGACAAACTTGTTTTTGGGAGGGCACCATACTCTGAGCACACCAATCGAAATCTCTCACCAGGAGGTTGCCATGTCATCGAAGGCTCATGTTGAGGATCAGAAGGGAACCGCCCATTCCACGAAGGATCTCTTCCTGGGCGAGACATTACATCAATGGAGACTGCAACATGTCAACGTACGCACGGCTTGCTTGTCTGATGGAGCCGAGGTGCAATGCTTATGGGATACGTGGGACCTGCAGACGTTCTGCTTGAAAAGTGTGCATCAGAGCACCGTTGACACAACGAAAGCCCGACAACTCTTCGATTCGGCCTGACTCTACCAGCGCTTGAAGTACGGGATCCTGACAGCACCAGAACACTACGGAATCTCTTAAACCCTTGTCGCACGCCCCTTCGAAGAACGGGAGGGGTAGCGAAGCAACCCCACGCCCGTGTTTGCCCGGGTCGGGTCAGGAATAAGGATAGCAACACAAGTGCACATACCTGCAGCGCATTGAATCTATGGTTTGGATATGCTTGGATGCTTGCATCATGGAATTTGGAAATGGCGTCCAGCGCTTTGCAGAGTCCTCAATAGTCGGCAGCTCGGCGTATCCGGAGGCCCCAACCGCGACCTTGTCATGTTCACTAGGTACCCACTTCCGAGGAGCCAAAAGCAGCATGTCAAGAGGGCAACCCGATACGAGCTCACATCGTTGGGTCCATGCAGACTAAGGGCCGTAAGCATCACCGCCATACACCAACCCAACGTGCCTGAGCATCACCACGTCGCTACGAGACTATCCTCCTCGCACACTTGGAGCAAGTAAAACTCATCCAAGCAGCTCCAGATTGCCAACCTGCGCAAGAGCCGAGCTCTCAGGGATTCGCGATGCTCGCAGCATCAGCTGTACCTTTACTTTGCTTCTGAGGGGCATCCAGCCAAGCCGGGCAACTGTCTCAGCAACCACTTGCGCAACCAATGGATACTCCCTGGCAGCTTCATGGAGAATCTCTGAGGCCCTCAAATCTCTGACAACTCGGCACAGATCTCCCGTCCTGATCGATGCGAAGACCCTGAGATGGGGAAAGTTCTCGGAGACTAATCACAGAGCCCTCAATTCGGACCCGAATCAATGTCGCCGAGCATCGAAAAAATTCGTCCCACTCGGAGAATCCGAAGCCTCAATGGCGAGGAGATGTGGCAACGAGCCATCTGAGATGCTCGTCGGAGCTGTGAAGTTGCAGCAGGGTCGAAGAGCACCCTTGTGTCTTGCAAGCTTTACCGAGAAGCCTTGGCGGACAAAACCCCTCCTCCTGAAACTTCAGGAAGCAGTTGGCTTGCCGTGCCATACATGGCTTCCGGCTCAGCTGCCAACAGGAAGAGAACTGATGCGCACGCCGGACGGATGGCCCGAGGCTTCGGCATGCGAATCGCCCTGCTGGACCTCCAAGAGGCATTGGCATTAGCTCAAGTCTGAGTCTTTCTGTGCTTCTTACGCAACGTGTGCTGGGCCCAGGGCCGGAAGATCCCAAGGCTGTTGAAATGTTCCAGGACGAACTCGTCGGTGAAGGCAATGCCGGAAACCTCAGGTTCCGAGCTCAAAGCTAGACGCACCAGCAACACCAGCAACACCAACGGCAGCAGCCTCAGTCAGGCTGGTGGTGCTAGAGTCTAGAGAGTACAGCTCGTTACTCGCACTGTTCTTATGGAATATTTTTTTGCACCACTCAGGAGCTAATGCATGTCGATTCTCACAGCATCAGGAGGACTCGGAGGGCCCCCCCCATGCAGCTCCTGTAGCTCTGGAACACGGAAACGCTGAGGGGAATATGGCAGCCTGAAGCTCCAAAGCCCCTCAGCCCTGGAACCCAATGTATAGTGGATTGAGCGGGCATGCATGGGGACTCCGACCTCTCTAAGTGCAGACTGGCGTCGACCACGTCGGTGACCAGCCAGCCATCGAGGTAGAACCTTATGTGGGGCGTCCTAGGGATGAACCCAACTCTTTAGCCGAGGCAGACGAGCAGCGGTTGGACTGGACAGCCAATGACGCCTTTGAGGCAGGAGACGGCTGGCTTAGCACAGTTTCCAAAACGGTAACATCTGATTATGTTTTGACCTTTGCCCCATAGTCTACCCTCTTGCAAGCTTGGCTGCGTAGGATCACTTCCGTGACGTACAGGCCGATCAGGACTTTCATGACAGCCTCGCATGTTACATCCCCTCCCTTGGGCATCCTGGGAAACACTAGAAGCACCATGCCTGTTCAAAGTGAGTTTCAAGCGTGATGCAATGGTCGATTTATGACGAGTGACTGCTGTGTTACATACAGTGCGACACACGACAAAGGAGCTTGCAACGGCTGCCACGCGACTGGATTTGCGAGACGGCCGCTCTGAGGATAGGCTACGATTAGTTATTAGTTGCATGGTCTCTGGGTGGACGTATCCGGCTACCCACGGTAGCAGAAGCAAAACTGAACCCGGGTTGCAAGTTGCACTTTTGCGAAGCCGGCTGCCATCACCAGCAACATACTTTCTTCAAAGGCCGTGCGGCATCGATCGCATCGCTGACTCCTTGAAGCGTCACATCCTGACGGTTGGCGGTGTCAGGTGCCCGCAGGAGAAGTTCAAAGCAAATGACATCTCCGAAGTGCGAAGGCACACGGCCGGGCTCTCATCGGCCGCATTCCGCTGAGCTACTGCTGAAGTGCATTCAATGCCTCTGGATCTCGCAGGGTGCCGGCGGCCCTTGGAGCAGCGCGGGCTCGAATCTCATCATGCATCTCATCAGTCGGCTTAGGCAGGTGTCTGCACAGGGAGCGCTCTTCAGGCTTCACACAAAGTTGGTTAGCTTTACAGCGGGCTTGCTGATGAGGAGCACGTTTGCGTGGACGAGTACCTCAGATGGCTTCCACAGGAGCCAACATGGAGACGTATGCCTTGCTCTGACGCCTCGTCACCATTCAGCCGTCAATAAAAAACACCCTCACTGTCACTAGCACTATCGCTACAATTGCTTCACTGGGTCTATAACGGCTAGTTTTACTAGCACTGGTACGGCTACTTACACTGTTGCCGGTACAATTGCAGCACTGCCGAAGCCCGCCTTGCGACGAGTTTAATGCCCACCATGACTATTGTTGCGACGGCTGCGACGACACCTAAACTTCCTAAACCCATGACGACGACGACAACCACCCGGGCTCCTTGACGGCAATACTCCTACTCCTGCTGCTGCTGCTGCTGCTACTACTACTACTACTCTGCTACTG